AAATAGTATTATACGAATTACAATGTATCAACATTCCATAAAAATTTGTTTATGACACAACTCATTTAATCGTTAATAGGAATTAATCTTATTATATTTACAATGAATAAGAGAGACTAGACCAGATTATAACAAATTTCTTTTCAATAATACGTAATTTATAACACTGCATTTATAAACTTATATTCAAATGCAATACGTTATCTTAATGTATTATTGTAAATATACAAAAAAAATATTTGAGAGACGGAGAATAAAAAACTAGAATACATTTAGCAGCACTTAGTCGATATAATGTCATTATCATTTTATGTAATATTATTTCTGTTGTAATAACACGTAGACGAGACATTGCAATCAATTGATTGAACAACTTTACCAAAGAAGAATATTTTCTTTTGACAGAAGAAAAAAAAGAAATACTAAAGAAAATTTATATTGAAAATACGTTTTGTAAATAATAAAAAAAAAATGTTTTTCCAAATATCACAGTGTATAATTATAACGTTAACATTTATTTAAAATAATGGAACATAATGAAATTCAAAAACCTGGAATGCTTTAAAGAATTTGGTTAATTCAAACGCAAAAATACATACGCATATATATATAAAATAAAATAAAAAAAAGAAATCAAAATTACAATCTAGAATAAAAATGTTTTAAAAAAAAATGCAATAAATTACTTTTTCTTTATGCACGTGTTTTATATGCACTGTTGCATGTAATATCTACAAATACAAGCTTATACACGATACCAAATTCAATACAAAGTCAAAACGTAAAGCATTCATTAAAAACCAATTTTCTTTGGCTATTTCGGGTTATTTTTATTTAAATAATTATAATATCGTAATATTGTACAGTATGAGTTAGAGTAGAATGTGAATTTTTAACGCGTAAATTTTACTTAGATCATACGTTGCCCACTCGTTGGAGCATATTGTGGTTGTTGATGGTTAATCGAAGGTCCTGTCGATCCCGGTGGACCATATTGAGCTGGCACAGGACCAGTTTGAGGCGGAAATCTGCTACATAAGGTTGTACACCATTGATTTATTCCTTATAATTGAAAACTTTGATGGTATTTCGTCTTTGTAGTCAATAACACATGTTTCAAAAATATCATTTTCAAGTTTTAATAAATCGTTGAATAAATATTTCATTCATTATGCTTTTTCATATGAAATTATACAAAAAGTTTTGTTAAAAAATTATATTTATAATGTAATAGGATAAACATACCCTTGTTGTTGATAGGAGTGTGTTTGTTCAGGCACTGGTGGACCTTGTGGATGTCCTGTCGGAGGCTGAGGACCAGGCTGTATACGAAAATGTGGTGGTAATGCCATATTTGGTATATTAGGAGGCCCCATATATTCATGTGGACCTGGAGGTCCACCTGTATTTGAGAAAGGTACCTGATGTGGTGTTGGCATTCCATTATACATCTAAAAGTAAAGATATATAAGTATTATGACTTCAATTACATAACCAAAATATTTCCTTCAAAATAAATCTTACATGCGGTGATGGTGGTGGTGGTCCCTGATTAGGAAATGGATAAGAGATATGTGACATTTTAGGCATAGTGTAATTAGATTGTGCTGGAGGTGGGGACTCCCGCATTAACGTATGATACATATTTAAAGCTTCAACCAAATCAGAACTCAATTGAGTGAGTTGAGCGTGCCGTCTATCAACTTTTTCTAAAGCTGCATCAATCAATGGACCCATTGCAGTAACTTGTTCTGTAAAATAATGCATTATGCAAATATTAATATCAATATTAGTTAATTATAATCATTGTTTATTGTATTATATAATATTATTTATTATACCTTCTAAATCAAGCATTTCTTGAGGGTCAGACGAGCTATCACACTGTGGATCAGCTTCGTGTAATAAATGTAAAAGTCTATCCATCTTTTTTTCATCTATTTCTACTTCTATTACTTCCGGCTCTCTCTTTACCGTTTTTACTTCTACTTCTTCCGCAAACTGAACTAATTTTTTATTACTATGTTCTAATTCTACAAAAATATGTATATTAGTTTTATTGCATTTGATGTAATGACAAAAATATATACTTTTGTTAATGTTATATATTTACTCGTAAACTGTTCAGGTTCCACTGATAAATCCGCAGTTACAAAATTAGAAGGAAAAAGACCTTCTCCTCTATGATTACTACCTTTCCACCAATTTTGATCAGAATCATCCAAAATATTTACTGAAATTTAATTAATAGTAAATATTTCTTATGATAAATCTTTATCAAATAATAATAATAATAAAAAAAAACAATTTAAAATTAAAAGTATCAATTTTAATTTTAACATACTTATTTCTCCAGCTAAGAATGTTAATTCATTATCTTCAGCAGCCTCAAAATCATAAAGAGCTCGCACCTTCCTGCCTTCCGAGGTACTCGAACTACTAAGCGCAGAACTTACACTTGGATATAAACTAGTATTTTTTTTTGACGCTGGTGAACCATGAGAAGAACTTGTTTGAGGTTTATTTTCTTTCAGCGAAAGCTCAATAGCTATTTACCAATATGAAAATTAGTTATTTCATTTAGATAATTATTTAAATTCTCATTTATTTGCCAAATGATTACCCTTCGCTAGATCTTCTTCCTCTTGAGAATTTGTTACTACATTTGGGTCCTTACTTAATATATTGGAACGTTTAGGCTAAAAATGTTCATAAGTAATATCTAAAAGATTCATTATTTATAAATATATGTTAATAAATAGATAATTAAAACTTACTGTTTCAGACAAACTCGAAAAATCAAGTCCTTCGTTACGAAGTTTATTGTATAAACTTGGAATCAAATTAAGTTGAGGATCCGTTTTAAAATCACCTTCGGCCCATTTCTTCAAAAGTATCTTAATTTTTTCCGCTATCTTGGGTTGAGGATGATTAATCATTTTCTTCAAATCATTTTCAAAATCTCTCGATGCTATTTCCAAATGGAAAGTTTTACCGCAATTGTTGGAGCATGCATCCAATAACTAAAATGTAATGGTATAATTAAAACAATGATTTCAATATTATTGTATATTAAAGAAAGAAGTGATAAAATACTAACTGTAATGGCTTGTATAACAATATGTGGATCTTGTGAATTTAATCTTTTAACAATAGAACGTAAACAGTCCTTAGCGTTTTGCGTAGAATTACCAACTCGATCACAGATCTCCATTATCTTAACCCAATCTTCTGATGTATTTTTTTCATTTGTTGCTTTCTCTGCAACAGAGACAAATATATAAAAGAATATGTTCAAACAATAGAATCAATTTTTATAATATTATCATGAAAAGAGTAAATGAAACATATTGAAAAGAATAAGAAACAAAAGAATAAGCATAAAAAATAATATTTTAAATAAAACATCATATCTCTGTGTAAAGTATGAAATTATATTAATTTAAACAAAATGAAATATTTTGACATACACCAAGGCGTATCTTAATCAGAGTAAAAAAATAGATTGCGATAAAAGGCAGGTCATAAAGTAATCGTTGTAGAAAACGTATGAGCTTTTGAAGTCTCGATTAGAGGTCAAACGTCAACAACCGCTTAATGCCTGCATTAAAGAATATTACTTTTTTTTTTAATCATTTTTAATCATTTTTAATCATTTTAAAAAAAAAATCTTATCTTCGATAGGATATGTAATAAAATTGTTTTTGGAAAAATTTATAATAAAAAACAGACATACATTTTTAATCAATGAATCTGTCTTACTCATTGTGGTTGGTTTGATCATAAACGAATTAAGGCTAGGCTAGAACTATGTTTGTTAAACTCACCAACGTCAGCATCGAAAGGCGACGAATTCGGGAAAAGGCCCATTTCTTTTATTTTTTTTATTTATTTATTTTTTTTTTTATTAATTCTCGTAGAATTTTTATCAACTGTATTTAATTGTAAAATATACGTCAGATAAACGCCGTCATGTAATCTCTCTTCTTCGTTTGACGTTATACATTCAGCTGATATTTACTTACAAACACGACACTACGAATGACTAATAACATTCTAATCTACGATCGAGTGCCATTTTACTTTCGAGCTGTTAAGTAAGCTCGATACTATCGAACACAAATGTCGATCTTATGTGTACACGTATAACCACGATATCTGTCTGTTACGCCGAAATATTCATATCGACATTTTAATGATCTATTTTCACGTTATTTTACTTGATATTTCAAACGAATGTAAAAGAATTACTTTTGGAATGTGTCTTTATTAATTTAAAAGTTTCTTCGAGTATGGCTTTTCTGAACTGTGACGAAAAGAAAAGGTTTCCGAAAAGATATATGACTATCTAGAAAAAGAAAGAGAATCAAGCTAATCGAGTTTCGATATATCGCAACATCAAATGGCGTTCCTGTAGCTGCTGACATCTGGCGGTAAATTTGATCGTTCAAAACTGTACGAAAATTATTCGATGTATTACTCACTCTCACGAGGTTTCAAAATCGAATTATCTCGAGTTCTTAAATATTATAAGCTTCTAATAGAATCGATTTTATGAATGTAAAAGATACATTTAATTTTACACGATTAATTTCATTGTTTTCATTCAAAGTTAATGTATAGCATTTGAACAATTCATTCGAGTTATTTCAATACAAATATTTTCCATTAAACATCTCATATCTTTTTCATATCTTTTTCAATTTTAATCGCACATATATTTCTTAAACTAATTATACAGATAAATAGAGATATTATAAATGAGGATTTTTGGAAAAATTATGCTTTGTTGTTAGTATTTACACAAAGATATGTAAGATGGCGTTTGTAGGTCTGAAAAGATTATTACAAATGGCGGAATACTTTTGAAACATGTAATCAAATATACCGAATTATTTTTACATCTATAAAGTTATTATCATTACTTATCATACATTTTTTATGTATAATGCATTCTAAAAAAAATACTACACAATATTTTTATATAATGACACTTTTTATTCTGAAAAAAAAGAGAAGTGATCTTCGAAGGGCAAAAAAAAAATGAAGCAATCAAACCCCTAGATAATCAGAATTATTTTCTCAACTGTAAAATTATTTTCGTGGTGTTCACGAACCGCGCGAAAATAATTGGAAAGTCCCGCGCTTTTGTGCATCGCATTATTATCGCGATGCAACGTAGCCACGATGACTACTGACACGTCGGCAAATTATCTGACGATTACACCGAGAAAATTCGCAGGGAGTTGGACGCGAAACTCAGATATTAGAACGCTCGTGTTTCCAACTAAATTATTACCTTTAGAATTATTACTCACTTACGTAATCGGCTCATTGACATTCATTGTTTCAGACTTCTTTTGTTTTGTTTTTTTATTGTTTATATTTTTAAATCTTTCATTATCAATAAGAGATGACAAAAAAAATAATAATAATAATATTTTTCCTCATTGACACAGTGACACAATGCTATTACAATAATAATGTAAATTTTTGATCAATGATTCACGGGTAAACAGAGCGACCAAATAAAATTAACTAAATTGATAATTAAAAGTTACTTTTACGTCTTATAAGTCGTCAGCTCGTTAAAATCAACTTCCGCCCTCTTTCATCCAAGTGAAACGCTTTTTTAACGAGATCCGTATTCGAGATGAAAGCCATTTTTCCCATACATACTATCCGTATACAATACTTTTCGCATCAGAAAAGATGTTTCGATTCTGATAGGCATCCTGAAATTGTGCTCGCTTGCATAATAAACTTTTCTCAATTCTTTCATCATTTTCCTATCAGACAGATAATAACAAAAAAAAAAAAAAGTATCTCGTAGTCATAAGATTGCTACGATTACTTTACTTATTACCTGGCTTCTTTACTATTTGTTTTTTTTTTCCTTTTATTCCTATACATAATATTAACGAACTTGTACTTTAGAAAGGATGTATTCTTGGAACGAATGTATACCTTCACCAGAGGAAAGGACTCTACATTAGAAATTACGAGAAGTTCGTGACGAAATAATATCTACTGAAGTATATCTATATATATATATATATATATATATATATATATATATATATATAGAAAGAAATATATTGTCTTCATTATACCGTAAGACGTAGAAAAGAAAGAGAGACAGACGTTTATATTATTCTTTAGATGGAATTCTTCGACTCCTCGGAAATTGCGTATCTCAAAGAAAGTAATAGCGGTCCCACCGTGCGAAGAAAGAAAGTAGATTGTACACGCCAGTAGTAAATATCGCATGAGAAAGAACTTCTATTCTTTTAAAATGATAGTAAGTTGATGGTAAACTTCGCACGTCTTCCTCACATATGAAAAAAAAAAAACTTAGAATAAAATCGAACAGTAGGGTAGAGTATAACATTTAATTATAATAGTATAATTATATTAAAAGTAGAAGCACATTATTAATAATAATTTATTTGAATTAAATTATGATCGATAATGCAAACATATAATTTGTATTCTTCTTATAGTGGGAACCCTTTCCTATGAGAATTAATCAAAATCCCTTCTCCTGAGGCAAATGGTGCCTCGAGTTTCGCTTGAAACTTGTTTTCATCGTATGATTGGAGAGACAGAGGAGAAAGGATGATGACCGGACCCATTTTCGAAGCCTGAGGCTAACATCACAAAAAGGAGGACTTGAGGATAATCAAAAAGTGTCGATTCGAAAGAAAAAGTACATTTTAACATTTGACAAGCTGTTGATTAAATCGAATTTTAATTTCTATAATATGATCGATCTATTTCGAAATAAAAATAATTTCAGATAAATGGACGATTGTATTTATTGTTATCGAAGATCTTATTTAAGAAACGATTTAACAAGAGTCATAAAAAAAGACCATAAATCCATTCGATAATGGGTAAAAGGATATTGACTTTTGACGATAGGAAAAAACAAGAAAAACATTTCTTCTATTCGATTCTTTTCTCTTCTATCCACAAAGTGAGCGTTTTTCTTGGCAAGTAAGATTGTTCAGCGAGGCACTTCGCCGGTGAATGGAATCTAACGTCCGATACTTTCGCAGGCATCCAGCTCTGTATGCTTTCGTTTTGCACTTCTTAACCGGAAGTCTCGAGGCCGGTGTAACCGAACATTTTCAACGATCCTTGCTTGATGTAATTCGTAATTTAATACTGTTATTAAACATTTCGACATTTTTCTTATCTGATAATAAAAAAGACAACAAACTCTTCAGATGTGGGAAGATAATTTGATAGTCTCAATAATTTTATATTTAATTAATATATTACGTTTGCGTAATATAATTAAAAAGAAAAGAAAAGAAAAGAAAAATACTTTCAATTTATATCGATAAAAAGAAATAATATACGTAAGATAGAAAGTGGTTAAATTCTATTCGTAGATCGGAACGATCGAGTTGAATGAAAAAAAGAAAAAAAAAAAAGAATTAAATGGATTCGTTTTACTTAATATTATAAATATTATAAATAATAGCATGAATAAAAAAAAAAATTGTACGTTAGACAAATTGGATTTTGTAATCTATTTTATGCATCTCATTGTAAGTGAATCATTTTTATGGTTCATCGAACGACAACCTCGGTTGTCTAGCATCTCATGCTTGATTAACGTTGCAAATTTATGAAATCGTTTGTTCTTTTTTTTTTTTTTGCATATCAAACTCCTCTACACAATTATATTATTTTTCAATATGAATTATTATCATTTCTTTTAATCCATGTCGATATACAAGCAACTGATCTACAAAGATGTGGCAATCAAATATCCATGACCCATAAGTGTGCACGCAACTTCAATTTTATTATACGCTCCTTGATTCGCAGATACCACCATATACTACATACATATCTTTGAAAAGTATTTATGAAGAACCAGCATCCTTCGTAAGTAAGAAGAAAATATACGTAACGAAGAAGTGGGTTCCTTGGTAAACGTTCACCATTCTACCTGGCCGTCGTCTCCCACCTGGTCGACCTGAAGAACTCTTTCCTTCTCAGAGAAGTAAAACTCTCGGACGTTTTCCGATCTCTAACAGTTCTGAACTCGTCTTCGTCGATGTGCCAAATTATTAACCGAGCTTCACCGTTCTGCTCTTAAAATAGAGCCCCAAAATAAAACCGTGTGTTGCGAATTAATTAAAGACATTTTTGTTTTTGTCTTTTTATGAGATAAACAATAAAATAAAATAAAAAAAAAAAAAAAAAAAAAAAAAAAACAAGAAAATTAATATACACTTCACGAATTAATTTAATATTCATTTATTTATTTTTTTATTTTTATTAATACGATAACATGATATAATTTTTCTTTATTTTTCTTTTTCTTTAAGCTCTAAGAAAAAGTGTGTTTTTTTTTTCTTTTGAATAAACAATCGTTTCTTCATCGATTAGCAGAAGTTCGAAGGTTAATAATTCAATTGATTAAAGAACAAATTAAAGTGGAACTACTTAACGTTTTTGTAAATTTAAAGTTTCACGAAAAACAAACAGAATTGGAATAGTGAATTTCATTCTTTCATATCATCTAGTGTGATTTTTCAAACAATCGATTGATAATTAATATTTCGTGATGAAGAGAACAAATCTATTGTGTATTTTGTGGACCCTATTTGTAATTCGATTAAACATCTTCGTTAATGCTGAAGCCGATCCAGCGATTTTACCTGGTGCCGATTTTGGTCATCTTCAACAGGTACAAGTTCAAATATTGTATGATAAATAACGATATATTGTTAAATATTATTCGCAGTTCACACCAAACGTATTTTAAAGGGCTCTTAATTATGATTGTTCTAATTGTCAACTTAGAAAGTTAAAAGGAAAGGCAATATAATGATGGACACTTTTATCCTTTGATATCGTTTATGGTACGATTCAGTTGCCCTAAAAGAATTACGGTAGAACAATTTGTACCATTGTTTTCTGATAATTATACCTATAGGTACACTTGTATTACAATCACTGAACCATAAAACATAATTATATGGTAGACCATTCAAATTAATGCTAGTAAATTATTAACAAACTACATTAGTTATTCCGATTATTACTTTGATATTTTTTCCCCGAAGTAAGAAACATTTTTTCACATATCACATGATTAATAGACCATGTTTCCTCGATTTAAAAAAAAAAAAAAAAACTGAAACATTTCCTTTATTAGTTTTTTAATACTGTATTTAAAAAATATAAATATGATTGATCAAAAGTTTGTCATCAATATACTTTTATGTTAATAATGTTAGCATAGTGTTAACATAGTGTCAAAGAGAAATCTAGCAATTACAAGGAGATGCTGTGAAGTAGGAAATATGTACAGATATTGAGAAAGGCAAAGATAAATATAGTAAATAAGATAAAAAGAGAAAGAGAGAGAAAGATTTCAAGTAGAAAGGGATCAAAAGTTACTCGTTTAGTGGGTGAACAACACAGCTTCGGGCTACTTTCGTATGTTACTTTAATTTTATTTCATTGCGTCGTTGATCGCAATACTTACTTCCCGTTATTATCCACATCATAATATAACCATATAATGTATAATTAAAAATGCAAAATGAATGAAAGATCATTAATTGATTTATTAAATTAAATATTTTAAATTTAATAAGTCAATATTAATCTTGCGTAAATTAAACTTTTATATATTATTTCTAAATAAATTGATAATTATTAATTAAGAATAATTGATTATTTAAAATTCTGAATTCTATGAAGTTTAGATTTCATTTTGTATTATAACAATCTTACTCACTTATAATAAGTATTACAATTATTCTAGTTTCGAAACGTAGCATAATTTGACATAATATCTAAATCGGGTACACAATACATACATGGATTACAATTTCCTTTCACTCTCGTATTTAGAAAAAAAAAAAAAGAAAGAAAGAAAAGAAAAAAATATATATATCTATGAGTTAACGTGTTCAATGAGAAAAGTATTCCGTGTTAGTCAACGGAAGTATCGAGACCATCCAATCGATACAACTTCCGCTCTTCTCTTTTCTTCCTAGATGTTTAAACAAAAGTACACGTTGTATCATTTATTATTCATAACAAATGCTTTCCTATATAAAGTTATCAATGATAATTTTGTACAAATATTTAATATTCATTTATTCTTAATGTTACGAATATCTTACATCATTTACAAGTTTTGCAGAGATCATTACATCGATACGGAATAACTTTTCTCTTTTTTCTTTCTATTTTTTATTTTACATTAAATAACATCATTTAGGAAGAAATCGAAGGAAACGGTTAACGAAGCCTACTTACGTTAAATCACGCATACCTATATCAGGATCTTCAAGTAAAAGCGAAGACGGCTTTCATTTTTCTTAGAACTTGTTTAAATTTGTTACCGTAAGATTAAACTATGATAAGTGAAAAATAAAAATGGTATTATATGTAATAAATTATTCGCGCAATGAAGGAGTCATTTTTTAAAAAAGATAAAAAGAAGTGAAGTAAGAAATATTAATTTCAGTAGTAACAGTAAGTGAATCATTGCAAGTAGTACTACCACGTATTTGATCGACCTTAATTATGTGAGTTGTTGGTTGGGATACTTTAATACCGTTTCGTAATAAAACATACGGTATGCATTAGAAATCGTCTTCTTCATTATTCGCCATATAGAGTTCAAATGAAAACGTGGAAACTAACTTTTCTCGTGTTGTTTGTTTTTTCTTCTTTTCTTCTTTTCTTCTTTTCTTCTTTTTCTTTTTTCTTTTTACCATTTAACGTTCTAGGTTCCTTTTTATTTGCTTTGTATCTACCATTAAGGATTTTATTACTTCATTCAGAGCGTATCCGGAATAAAATTAGAATTTAGAAAATTCTATATCATCCTTGAGTCTCTACCTCGTTTAAATTATAAATTAAATCTCAATGTGCTAGATAAATGCTAATGTTTAAACTAATTAACCAATTAGATCATTTCTATCTATCTCTATCTTTTGCTTTTTTTTATTTTTCTCTTAAATTTTACGAAATTAAATTTGAAAGAAGAAAAAGTGCGTTAGGTTAAAAGAGACAAGCGATAATAAAACAACTGACTTTCTAAATTGTCCTCAAAAATCTAAGTAGAAAGTTACTTATAAAAGTTTTCTAGGAATTATTATATGCAAAATAGCCATATGTGATTTAGATTTTTTATAAACAAAAAAATAAACAAAAATTTCAATAAACAATCTGCTTGATTTCCATGTATTTCTGCGATAAAAGTGAAACTGGTAACATCACGTGTGAAAATAATCAATTGATACATATATACAGTTAGTATCCGTTAAAAATCTTATATAAATATAAATAATTGTTAATTAATCGAAAAGAATGTGTAATATTACCAGAAAACACCAAGTATATGATCGGAGTACCGTCCTCTTCGAAATTCACTTTCAGACTGGCACGTTGTCATCTATCAAAACAGTTTTATAAAATGTTGTTTAGATGACTTTCCGAATGTTATGCATATGTGGAATGATAATAATATTCTTAATTAATAGAATTTAAGATTATAACGTTCATATTTTAATATTTTTTGTATTCTAATGTAATTATTTTGACGCTCATGCACAGTGATGACTACGAGAGTCAAATTTTGCTGTAATGTAAGTAGAGTGTATTAGAGTGTTCAAATAATTGTTAATTAATCGAAAGAAATGTGTATAGTTGTTTAAAAACACCAAGTATATGATCGGAGTACCGTCATCCTCGAAATTCACCTTCAGACTGACAGGTTGTCCTCTGTCAAAATTCTTATATTAAATATTGTTTATATGACTTTCCGAACATTACGCATGTGTGCAACGGTAATAATAATTCTAATAAAGAGTATTTAAGATTATAACGTTCTAATTTTGACATTTTTTGCATTCTAATGTAATTATTTTGACGCTCATACGCAGTGATGATTACGAGTGTCAAATTTTGTTGTAATGTAAGTAGAGTACAATAATGAATTAAAATCATTGTTAAATAATATAAGTATATGATCTGTTATTATTATAATTTTATATTCTCTTTATTAGGAATATTATTACCGTTGCACGCATGCGCAACATTCGGACAGTCATTTTAACAACATTGAATAGAACTATTTTGATAAAGGATAATGTGTAGTTTGAAGGTGAATTTCGAGAAGGACTGTACTCCGAACATATATTACGTGCTTTTAAACATTAATATACATTTCTTTTAATTAATTAATAATTATTTAATAT